CTACCGGTTCTCCAAACTACTCAAAATTTCTGCTACCGGTTCTCCAAAACTGGTTGGAACCTGCTGAATGCCACCTCTGATATGGACAGGACACTTACTTCTGGGTTTAGTTCCCAGATGTCTTGTAATCCAACTGAATCCTCTAAAGGCTTTGGGGATGGGCTGTCCTTTCTTCTTCAAATATGAGATATAGCTATTAATGCAACTTTAACTGGATGGTGATCCTGCTACTATAATGTGGTAATCAGAGATGTCTCACCCACAGAATATTTTCCTGAACAGAACAAAATATCAAATTCAGTTTGTAACAGTGGTGGGTTCCTACTGGTTCGGCCGAACCAGTAGTAGTTTGGCGGCCTGGGTCGCTGGAACCGGCAGCAAGCCAGGCCTGCCACACCCCCGAACTGGTTTTCCCGGCAGCACCATAGGCGGCGCCATCTTGTTTTTTGTTTCTGCGTATGTGCAGAGCAATTTTATTTGTTCTGGGCATGCACATGCAACGCATATTTAGCACATGCATGCACAAAGTGCCCATGAGCGAACCGGCAGTAGTGGCTGCCAGAACCCACCAATGGCTTGTAACCTGGGACCAATAGATCCACAATTATCATGGCTGCTACCATGAACTTCTGAGTTACTCCCATAAAATAGCTGTGAGAGTTCCAGGGTTGTGTAGAAGATGCCCAGAGAATGTGTATGTTCCAGTTTTCATTAATTTGTGGATGAGAAGTGGCTTTTCATAAATATCCATAAGGCTATAGATATTCTGTTTCTGGAACATTTTGAAAATCCCCTGCTCATTACCAAACCATTAGCAAGCATCTTTGTTTTCTCAAAGAGATCCAATATCAGCAAGTTACATCAAAGATGAGAAACCCACAGCTATTAGCAACCCCAGCCAAACAGTAATTAGCTGTGCTGGGATAACAGAAGGTCCTTAGTTGTGGCCCATTGGTTTATTTCCTTGAAGTTTATTCTTTTTTTCCCCTAAGTAGCAACAGTGGCACTGTGTATGTTCTCTACTTAGTAGGGAGCATGCTGGGTTGGCTCAATTTTATTATATGTTGTTGTTCATAGACGTTTAGGATTATGGTCTTCATGCCAGATCTTCAGGCTATGGGGTGGGGGGTTGTCAGATGTGGTCCTAGTTTATGGAGATATCAAAATGGATGCAAGAATTAAAATACAAAGAAGATGGCAATGATATCCATCTATAAAATAGTCATATGGTTTTCAAGAATATCTAAGTTATGCAGAATAAAACACTCTATCATAGGAAAATACAGATTTAGCAAACAGAAGTCATAACTGTTGCCGAGGTGGTGAGGTGGCGCAGTGGTTAAATGCAGCAGTTCAGCAGTTCGGCTATTCAAATCTCACCGGCTCAGGGTTGACTCAGACTTCCATCCTTCCAAGGAGGGTAAAATGAGGACCCGGATTGTTGGGGGCAATATGCTGACTCTGTAAACCGCTTAGAGAGGGCTGAAAGCCCTATGAAGCGGTATATAAGTCTAACTGCTATTGCAAGTAGGGATTGTGCTAGTGTAGATTATAATAAAACTAGCAATCAGTGAGGTTTTCCTCACTTACCTCTCACTGTGGCACAAACATATCCTGGCAACTATTCTTTTTCTGCAGTGTCCTCATGATAAGGCATTATCTGGTTCTCCAACCCATGTGTGAAGCAAGCCATCCTTACTGTACTTTGCTGATACTGAAATAATGTTTTCTTCCTTATCCCAAGACAACTTTGCTGTAGAGACAATCTGCTCTGCTTCATGGACCAATTGGCTGGTAGCACAATCAAATTGGATTCTTCTCTTCTTGCAAATATTTTGTTAGCAGGCTAGATAACACAGTCCGTACACAGGTCCATGATGGCAAACCTAGGGCACACATACCACAAGTGGCACGTAGAGCCATATTTGCTGGCACGCCAGTCGTCAGCTCCAGCACATATGCATGTGCCAGCCAGCTGATTTTTGGCCTTCCGGAGTGCTGGGGAAGGCCATTCTCACCCTCCCCAGGCTTCAGGAATGCTTCCAGAGGCTAGGGAGGGTGAAAAACAGGCCCAACGAGCCAATGGGAACTGTCCCAAACATCTGGTTGGCTCATTGTGCCTGTTTTTTACCCTCCCGTGCCT